CGCTCACGGCTGCGGGAGGACCGTCGCGGCGGGCTGAGAATAAGTCGGTGCATCGTCTCGGTGTCAATCGGGCCGTCGCCGCGCGCCTGCTGCTCGCGCCGCAACGCCGTGCGCGCCATCTCCACGTGTGCCTCAACCTTCACCGCGATAACACGTATCGACTGAATGAACGGCTCCTGCAGCGTGTTGCCCTCCAAGGTACGTTGCTCCATATCGTGGGCCGCCGCACGAACGGCATTACGCACGCTCTGCCGTACGTCCTCGAGACACTCGGCGGCGCGGTGCATCAGCATCGCCACCTCGCGCTCGCCGTCGACACGTGCGAGTTCCTCCTTCAGCCCGCTGATCTCCACCTGTGCCCGCTGCAGCTGTCGCTGCGACTGTGCGTAGTCGTAGTTGACGCGCTTCAGCTCCTGCTGCAAGTGCTCGACACGCATCGAGCTGCCGCCGGAGGCGCGGGCGCACCGCTGCAGTGCCGACGCCGCCGTCTTGCTGCAATCGCTCACGCGCTGCTCCATGCTGCGTAGCGAGCTCAGCACAACGCCAAGTTTGGCCTCTGTCTCCTCCATGCANGCGCCGACGGACGCCTGGAATGCCGACAGGAGGCCGTCGTGCCGCCGCTTCTCCTCGCGCCCCCACAATGACAGACAGCCCGCTACTTTGGCCTCCAGCATGGACGATATGAGGAGCGTCGCGTTCGTCAGCTGCCGCGGTGGTGGCGATGGCGATGGCGGGGGGAGCGCCGTCCTTGGCGCGGATATTTGTGTCTGCCCCTCCTGCCGTCGTATCCCGTCCTGGGCAAACCCGTGCGTCCCTTCGCCACCTCCAGCAGTTGCGGCATCTACGGAGCGCAGTGCCTCGTCGAGCGTCGCGGCTACGTCGTTGTTCGTTACAAGCGGCTGCGTCACACACCGCGGCGCCGGCCCCTCTTTCGCCCGTTCTCGCACCACTTCCAGCAGGCGCTGCAGATACAGCTGGTACAACACGCGTGTCTCTTCCGCGACAAGGAGACGGCTGCGAAGGTCATCCTCCCTCTGCAGTGCCTCCGCCAGGCGCGTTCGCTCTGCGCGCAGCAACGCTTGCGTGTCTTCGAGTTCTTTCTCACGTGCGTGCAGAGTCATCTCCAGCGAGCGGCGAACGTACGCAACAGCATCGTCGTTCGACTTCTGTGCCAGCGATGCGCGGGCGCTCTGCCACTCAACTTCCTTCTGCGCTAGGGCGTTTTCCACCGCATTCCTGGCGCGCTGGCTTTCGTGGAGGGCACCCTCAAGCTCCGTCATTTTGGCTTCGTAGTTGCGCCGCAGTTGCGCCTCCCTTTCCCCGACCTCCTGCTGCGCCCGCGCCTTCCGTCCAGCCTCCTCTTCTAGGCGGCAGTTGAACTCCAGAAACCGTTTCTCCGCTGCAGAACCCACAGAAGGCACTGTGACGTTATGGGCATTCCGCGCTGACGCACAGTGAAGATCCTGTTTCGGCTGCTGCAGTGGCTGTTGTTGCAGCAGCAGATCCCTATGCCGGTCGTCGAGGGGGTCCCGCTCGCCGGGCATCGGCTGGTGGTGCCCGCCGCCTCTCTCCATCACACCTGCCA